TATCAGCAAACTATTAAAAAGAAAAAAATCCCTACTTCTATTTGACTTTTAGTTTTCTTGTAGAGAGAAACTGTATATTTTTTATGTTTACACTCCATTATGTTCCGCAAAAACAAATTCATCTTTAGTGCCTTGTTATGCAAATAATTATTTTTTCACCGAGAAACTAATTTTTGTCAAAAAATCATTAAAAATAACAATTACCTTACTAAAACGTGATAGCTTGAACGCTTTCACACCCGTTAAAAACGTTAATTTAGCCATCTTTGTCACGCGATAGCAATTGTTTTTTCAAAAATTCAATCATAATTCTACAAAGTAGAAGAGTTTCATAGAGAAAAAAGGTCTAAAAGTGCCTAAATTAGCGTTTTAAAAAAAAATAACTAAGAATGCGTTGAATCATTCAATTTGACACTTCTGACAGTTGTTGACATTTCGCGACAATGGCAATGTGGCTCACACTCTTCAAGAAAATCAGGCGAAAAATTTTTTTGAAAGTCGTATAAAATCTTTAATCTGTATTTTTTTTGAATCCACTGCGAAAAAAAACTGACGAAATAGTCCCTTATCTAACAATAATTTTTTTGTGGCTAATTGGAAAAATTAATTTAAATTCGTTTTTAGCGGTTCGTTTTAGCCTTTATTCTTCGAAAAAATTTTGAAATGTTTATAATAAGTGCACATAATTCGACAGATTGGTTCTTTATGTACAATCAGTACATTTTAGAACAATTTGAACCACATCAGGGCCGTAATGAACAATTTTCTTTCAAAGGGAATCAGTTGGACTCAAAAATTATTTTGTAGTTTGTATTAAAAAAAACTAAAATAATATTTTAGAAACAACCAAATTAAACATTTAAATTTTGTATGCAAATCTATGTAATGTAAAACGATGTATTTTCACAAAATGGTCCAACCCATGCATGAAAGAATTATTTGATTATCAAAGTACATATATATGAATAAAAAAACAAACATTTTCTTGATTTTCCTATTTTGGGTTTAAAAACTTTATATTAAATATCAAAATACCTAGGTTTTTTCAGTTTCAATAAAAGCAAATAGTTAACTTTTTTTCAATACATCACTCCTACTTTATTTCTACTAATTTCCAGCATATTTCGTTAAATGCTTTATAAATCCTTAAAAAAATTGCTTGTTTATTTAAAAAAATAATTATTTGAAAAGTTTTGGCTACCACGAATTAAAATAAAAAAGAAAAAAGACAATTTTTATTCGTTTCAAAAAAAAACAGAAAATGACATAAAACATGCACTGATTATTTTAGAATCAGATATTTAGCTCACAATTGTTATTATAATTAATGTAACATAATTACGATATTTTTCAGCGAAACCAGCGATCCAGACGACGACAATGGCGAAGACGTGAAATCAGTAAAAACAAACGATGAGAATAAAAAGTAAGTATCGTTAATTTCATTAGAATATTCTTATTTAACTCGGGTTAAATCAAGAAGCCCTATACCGGTTCAAGGTGATCGGCATTTATTTCTTGTAAAAATTCTATTTTATAGGCCATGTTGTAATGTCACGAATGCATTTCCACTATGATATTATTAATACTGAAAACTGTTAACTCCTTTCATTAGTTTATTGGCTAAACCTTCACGACGCAAGAATGCATTACCGTTATTTTATAATTGCACACACGAGATTTATTTATCCAATGCGTTTTATACAGGGTGTGCCAAAACTCGCGCCCCAGAGAACATGGAAAAAATGTTAAAAAAAATTCTGAGAGTTTAAACTTTGCACTTTGACTCTATTTATTTCTGTTTTTTTTTATTTTTAGAAGAGGAAACAAGGAAACTGTATCCCAAATTGTAACTGTGTTTTGTTATTTGTGGCTTTTATTAGCAAAATTTTTGTACCTTTACTAAATAATTATAAAAAAAACAAACAGGGTGTTGCAATGAAAATGAGCCACTTCGAATATCTCAGAAACTAAAAAGACTTTGCAAAAACGCCGAAACAGGTCAATTTTGTTTCTGAGGGGGACATTTTTTGACGTAATTTTTAAAGCACCCCCAGTAACCCCCTAACCCCCACTCTAAAAATTTAAAAGGCACTACCCTACTTGTGGCACATCAAATAAAAGCTATTTTAACAAGTTTTTCGAAACTTTTTACCAAAATTAAATCAGACCATCCATTCATGAGATACAGGATGTCTAATAAAAACAAACCAGAAAGAATTTTCAAAAAAAAACATAACAATTTTTTAAACATTGTTTCTATGTTTCTCGACACATCCTATATGTATTTAATCCCAAAAAACTTTTCGCAGACAAAATCACAGTGAAATAGAAAAGCGACGACGGGACAAAATGAACACTTACATCACTGAACTTTCTGCAATGATTCCAATGTGTCACGCAATGTCGCGAAAATTGGATAAATTGACAGTTCTTAGGATGGCCGTTCAACACTTGAAAACAATAAGAGGAGCTGTGCATTCGTACACAGAGGGGCACTACAAACCCTCGTTTTTATCCGATCAGGAACTAAAACACTTAATTCTACAGGTACCAAAAAGGGGGTAATTTCTCGTTTTTGACAAAAACACAATTGGAATTTTGATAATATATTTTATCCTCAAATGTCACAAAAGTGACCACTTTTATGACTAAATGTCAAGTAAAAGATTTATTTTTCAGTGCCCTGGAGTATTTTTTTTTGTGTCTATTCCATTATTGCAGTATTGTTACTTTCTTGCCTCTTTTGATTAAGATTTATTTTTACACAAAATTAAAAAAAATTGTTTTCATAATTTTAATTATCCTTTCATCTATTGATGGAAGAGCATCTTTAATTTTTATTGTTTTTTTTTTATTTGAATTTTAGTTTTCTTGTAAACAGTTTTCTTAATTGTATATTTTTTATTTTTACTCTCTATTACCTTAAAAACAAATTCCTCTTTAGTGCCTTATTATACAAATAATTATTTTTTCACTGAAAACCTATATTTTTGTCAAAAAATCATTAAAAACAACGAGACAATTTTTCCTACTATTCCTACTATTGAATTTTTTAGCCTTTTTTTATTTATTTTTTTTGTAAACAATATCTTAATTATACTATTTTTTGTTACTTTTACACAAAAATTGAAAAATTATAAAATAGAGAAAAATGCCATATAAGGTAAGATACTAAGAACATGGAAAAATTATTAAAAAAAAATTATCTCTAAAAATTTCGAAGTTATGAGGGTTTAAATTTTGCACTTTGACTCTATTTATTTCTGTTAGAAAAATAATTTTCCAAGTTTTTTTGCTACAGGCCATTAGAAGAGGAAACAAGGAAGCTATATCCTAAATAGTAACTTTGTTCAATGTTATTTGTGGCTTTTATTGGCAAATTTTTTGTCCCTTTAATAAACAAATGTAAAAAAACATATACAAGATCATCAGTATCATTAAATAGATATAAAAAAAAAATTCAATTGTCAAAAAATAAATGTCAAAATTTTTTGACAGGTAGAATTTTTAAACATTTTTTTCATGTTCCTGGTATCTTATCTTACATGAAATTTTTCTCTGGGGCGCGAGTTCTGGCGCACCCTGTATATAAAAAACAAATGTAACATTTTCTCCATTTTCCTATTTTTAATTTATTGTCTTTTTTCTAAACATTATTAGGAAAAGATTTTTACACATTATTAATTTAATTTTCAATTATAATTTTCTTAAATGTGTTTTTTATATTTTTAACAAAAAATTGTGAGAAATTATTAGGATAAGGTTTTTAAACCTTATATTTTATCAACAAACGTCACAAAAGTGACCACTTTTATGACTAAATATCAAATAAAGGTTTTATCTTTCAATGCCCTGAAGTATTTTTTATGCCTAGGCGTTTTTACTTTTATCATGACATTATTAACATTTACCAGTGTTGTTTCTTTCTTGTCTCTTTCGATCAAGATTTATTTTTACAAAAAAAATGTTTTCATAAGTCTTTTTATCTATTGATAGAGGAACTAAATTTTTGTCATCAAACCATTAAATAGAAAAAGAAATTTTCCCCTATTTACATACATTTTTGATTTTTTTGTTTTTTTTTTTCTATTTGTTTTTAGTTTTCTTGTAAACAGTTTTTTCAAAAATTGTATATTTTTAATTTTTACTCTCTATTACCGTAAAAACAAATTCCTCTTTAGTGCCTTGTTATACAAATCATTATTTTTTCACTGAAAACCTAAATTTTTGTCAAAAAAATCATTAAAAACAACAATAAAATTTTTCCTCTTTTCCTACTATTGAATTATTTTTTTTTATTTAATTTTTTTTTTGTAAACATCTAATTTGTACTAATTTTTTTGATACTTTTGCACAAAAATTGACAAATTTATAAAATGGTCCAATCCGAGCATAAAAAAGTACATATGAATAAAAAACAAATATAACATTTTCTCCATTTTCCCGTTTTTGATTTATCGTTTGTCTTTTTTATAATTTTTTTGTAAATATTTTTAGGAAAAGATTTCAACACATATTAATTCATTTTCAATTATAATTTTCTTAAGTGTGAGAGAGGTTTAAAAACCTTATATTTTATACGCAAACGTCACAAAAGTGACCACTTTTATGACTAAATGTCACAAATAAAAGTTTTATCTTTCAGCGCCATGAAGTATTTTTTTTATTTTTGCGCCTAGGCGTTTTTACTTTTATCATGACATTATTGACATTTACCAATGTTGTTTCTTTCTTGTCTTTGGAGAGCTACATTGTAGTCGACTACTAACTGCACTAGTTAAATTCATACACTTTCGAAAATTTTAACACAAAGTCCGATACGCACGCGTGATGTTTGTTTAGAAGTTTTGTTACGATTTCATTACTTGCAAAGCGTGCTGATTATTTTGTTTACTTACTTGCAATTATATACTATTATTTTTTGTAGGCTGCTGATGGCTTTCTCTTCGTGGTCGGTTGTGACCGTGGCCGAATCCTTTACGTTTCAGAGTCGGTATCAAAAGTATTAAATTTCTCACAAGTAAGAGATGAAAATAAAATTTCTTCATTTATTAAGTATTAAGCTCTGTTATAGGGTGATCTTTTGGGTCAAAGTTTATTCGATATCCTGCACCCCAAAGACGTGGCCAAAGCCAAAGAACAATTATCCTCATCGGACCTGAATCCACGAGAAAGACTGATAGACGCAAAAAGTTAGTTTTCAACAAAAACACAAATTAGAATTAAAAAAAAAACAAAAAAACTCGAGTTTTTTTTTTATTTTCACCTGAGGATGACCACTTTGTGGTTGAAACGCGTTGTGTTTTAAATAAAAGTTTGGTGTGACGGGCTAATCGTGTTTTTGTTCATCATTTTCCATATCAAGAAGAAGAAAAAAAAATCCTCAAAAATTTTTTTTTCAGCAATGTTACCAGTGAAAGCCGATGTGCCTCAAGGCGGATCTCGATTATGTCCCGGCGCCAGACGCTCATTTTTCTGTAGAATGAAATGCAAAGTTTCTTCCCAAGTGAAAGAAGAAGCTGATACCACCACCGGCTGTCACAAACGTAAAAAGCAACAAAATTCAGGTATTGAAAAAAATTGATGTGAATAAAATGGAAAGTTGAAATTTTAGACAAAAGATACAATGTTATTCACTGTACCGGGTATTTAAAATCATGGACACCGGCAAAAATCGGGTTAGAGGACCAAGAAAATGATGGGGAAAATGAGTCTTGCAATCTTTCGTGTTTAGTTGCAGTTGGTAGGGTTTTACCCCATATTTCCACCGTCGCTGCTGCTTCACAAAGCAGGCCAAATGTGCAACCCATTCAGTTTGTTTCCAGGCACACATTAGACGGAAAATTTCTTTATGTCGATCAGAGGTAAGCCATTTTCTCTACTGATTGTATTTGAATGTTTAATATTTTGCCATTTTTTTTTATTTTATTAGAAATTTCCTCGATAACTAGTTATTGTAGAACACTGATTTTTTTGTGAATTATAGAAAATTAAATTTTCTTTCCAACGGTACCAAACATAAGACGTTATCACCAATAAGTCCGGAGTTATTGGCAATAGACCGCTCCGGGTGCCAAAAATCGACCAAAATCTCGACAAAAATCAAAAAAAATTTGATATTTAAAATTGATCCATATAACGCTTTTTACATTTCTAGAGGTTTTAAAAACTCAAAAAAGTGCATTAAACATTATTAGGTCAAGTTTAAAAAATTACAAATTTTTTGAGTTTTTGGAGGTGTGCAAAATCGTAAAAATAATCAATTTATTTTAAGTCGTAAAAACACTTGAAATACGGTTTTTTAGACGTAAAATACTCTACGATGCATAGTTTTTGAGATATTAAGTAATAAAGTTAAGAATAAGGTTAGAAGCATCCGATTTACATCAAAAAATCAAAAATTTTTGATTCTTATGAAAAACGTTAACAAATTTTTTCTCTTTTTTATTTTGTAAATTGCAGCAATACTGTCCCCAATGATATAATATTTTGACGTAAACCTATGTAAAATGTTCCGGGAAATCGATTGGCGTCAAGAAAAATGCAATATTCCTAAAAGTTTTGAAGTTATAGTCGGATTTATATTTTCGATATTTTTGATTTTATCATAAATTTTCTCGATAACTATTTATCGTAGAACACTGATCTTTTTTTATATGATGGAAAATTTAATTTTCTTTCTAACGGTACCAAATATAGGAGGTTATTACCAATAAACCCGGAGTTATTCGCATTAGAACGAATTTTTTTGAAAAAAAACTAAAAATGGCTCTGTACCCGGAACCAACAAATTTTTACTCTTTTTTATTTTGTAAATTGCAGCAAAACTGTACCTCAATTATATAATATTTCGATTTAAACATATGTAAAATGTTCCGGGAAATCGATTGACGTCAAAAAAACTGCAAAATTCGTAATAGATTTGAAGTTATATTTTTGATGTTTTTGACTTTATCAGAATTTTTCTCGATAACTATCTATCGTAGAACACTAATTTTTTTATATGTGGTAGAAAATAAAATTTTCTTTCCAACGGTACCAAATATAAGAGGTTATCACCAATAAGTCCAGAGCTATTGGCAATAAACAGTTCCGGTGCCAAAAATCGACCAAAATTTTGACAAAAATCAAAAAAAAATCAACTTTAAAATCGATCCATATAACGTTTTTTACATTTCCCGAGTTCTTAAAGACTCAAAAAAGTGCATAAAACGTTATTGGGTCAAGTTTAAGAAATTGCGATTTTTTTCAGTTAATAATTCCAAAAAAATTCCAGAAATTCTAAAAAAATCCCGGCAATTCCAAACCATCCAAAGATTGTTTGTTAATTTTTTATTTATTTTTTAATGTTAATAATCTCAAATAATATATATTTTTGATTAAATTCCAAAAATTTGTACAACTAATTTCAGAGTTAACGGCTCCTCGATTAAACCTAAAGTGTTTAATTTAATGACATACGAGTCCGAAAAAGTCCTTTTTTACGGACTATTTCGTCTCATTTATTTTTCTATTAATTGGAATTTGTAAGCAAAAAATCACTTTCATCTCATCAAAAAACTTGTCTTCACCCAGAGCCACCCTCGTCGTTCAGTTTCAGTTTTAGAAAGTAAAATCGTAAAAATTGTCAATTATCTCCAAAAAAATTCCATAAATTCTAGAAAAGTTTTAGCAATTTGAAACCATCTAAAGATTGTTTGTTAATTTTTAATTTTTATTTTTTTTAACTTCAATAATTTCAAATATTCATTTTCGATTAAATTCTAAAAATTTGTCTCATTTATTTTTATATTAATTGGAATTTGCAAACAAAAAAAAACGATTTTCATCTCATCAAAAAACTTGTTTTCACCCAGAGCCACCCTCGTCTTGGGTTTCCTCCAACAAGAACTCCTGGGTTCAAGCATGTACGAATATTACCACCACGACGACATCACTTCTGTCGCCGAATGCCACAAAAGTGCCCTCCAAAATTCCGAATGCACCACAACCAAAATCTACAGATTTCGAACCAAAGATGGAGGCTTTGTGAAATTACAAAGCGAATGGAAATCTTTTAAAAATCCTTGGACGAAAGAATTCGAGTATCTCATAGCCAAAAACACGCTAGTTTTGTAAGTAAAGTCTATTTTTTTTTAATGGAAATGCCAAACAGTCTTAACGTTGGCACCACTAGTAAATTCATTCATGGTAATTTTAATAAAGGAAGTTGGCAGTTCCGGTTTTTTGAATTAATTTGAAAACAATGTCATTAAACGTCAACACAAAAAATCGTCAAGAAAATTTAGAGACGAAACACCAAAAAAGAAACAAATTCGGTACACTAACAGTTTTTCGAAATTTGGAAACGAATAGTTCGCAAGCAGGAAGTTAGAAAAAGGGCCCGTTAAAATGGAGACGCAATTTGTAATGCAGATTTGCTAAATATTCTTAATTTTTAGCAAGAAATCGATAAGAATGCAAAACAAACATGAATGAGAAAGAACCTCGGAAAGAACGCAATTAAATTAGTGTCTTATGCATTGTTTTTGAGGAAAGAGGTGAAAAAGTAACAATTTTGAAACTAAAGCTGAAGAAGAATTTATAAAATGCATCAACTTTGAACTCGTTTCAATAAATTAATAATAATAATACCTACTTTTATCTTTTGCTAAATAACTTTCTTCTGTATATACATCCTTTTTCTTCAAAGTTTTTGTAGCAAGAATCTCATTTTTGTCTACAACATTGTGTAGACTTACTTGTGGTGTGTTTCTGTCAAAATTATTAGCACTGAATTCTGTCTTTAGACCTTAGGTAATGATGTCTGTCCTCAGGTATTCAATTATCAAAAAATTTTGACAACATCTCAATTTGAACACAACCATATTTTTTTAACAAAATTTTTAGGGACAAAATAAAGGACAAACAAAATTTGTGGTTATGGAGACAACCTGTTACCAATTTTTTCACAAAAATTTTGACTTGGTAACAGGGCCATAACCAGGATTTTATTTCAGGGGGGGGGGGGGGTTTCTTGTTGGTTCATGAAAATGAAATGAAAGAAGACGGATTAAAAAGCAAAAATCTCTAAGTACACGTTTTTATTTTAAATTGATATAAGAGATCCTAATTACATAAAATAATACAAATTAACTCACAAAAGTAACAAAATATAAAACAAATTTTTAATACTTTTTATTGTTACAAATTTAAACAGGAAATGAATATTCATTTTTAAAACAAAAATTTTCTATGAACATATATCGAAAAATGCTACGCAAGAAGTGCGTCTTTTAATAGGTTTTTTTTCAATATTTCCGAAATCATTTTAGAAAAAAATTTCAAAATTTGCTACAGATGATAACTTTGATACACCTAAACAAGCACAAAAATAAAATGTTGAAATGTTTAATTAGGTGCTTCCTAAACTAGATGGGATTAGGGTAAAAATTTACTCTAACTATTTTGCCTGTGGTTTCTTGCCACTTTCAGCAACAAAATTTCATAGTTTTTCATAAAAAAAGGTCTTTTGTGTTTCTCCGATACAAGTTACGGAATTTTAGTAAAAATCGGCTTAAAAATTTATGTTACAGACCATAAACAGCATAAAAATAAAAAATTAAATTTGTTTTACCGTTTAAAACGCCCCTGATTAAAAATTTTGTTATTTGGCATTTATTTAGGTGTACATATAAAGGTACCAAATTTTGTAATTTTATCTATTCTGAAATATTAGGAAAAACCCTTTAAAAAACATATCTTTTTTAGGGGGTGTAGCTTTCTTTCATAGCATTTTTCGAAACACTTTTGTCTTAAAATTAAATATTCTATTAACTATTTAAATTTGTACCTAACAATAAAAATGAAACACTGTACAATTAACACATAAAAAAATAATTCACAAAAATTTAAAATCAACTCATTGCAATAACAAAAAAACTAAATTTTTAACACTTATAACACTATATAACAAAGTGCTCAGCATTTCGGGGGGGATTTGAACCCCCTAACCCCCCCCCCTTGGGTATGGCCCTGCTTGGTAATTTCCATTTAAAAAAAACAGACTTTACTCGTATTTCAATGAATCACAATTAAAAAAAAATAATTTGTGCAGAACCGATTTTCGCACGGTGGAAAGCAGCGCTAGTAGACCCGATGGAATGCAAGAAAATCTCGATTTTCTCACACAATGTAAGTCACTTGAATTGCTAGAATTGAGATTCAGATAAAATTTTAACAGCTGATGGTAAAAATATCCAAAGATTGATCAACACTCATGTGGAAGCTAGCAAAATCGGGCGACAAATCGCCGAACAAGTGATGGATTCGCAGAGACGAGGAGGGGAGCTTTCTTCCGGGAGCAGCCCGGATTCTGAAGCCGAATCAACGGTACCAATCTCCAGTGCAGAAGTAAATAATTATTATTATTTTTTTTAATTTGAAAAACCACATTTTTTAGAGCCATATTTCGACAAGTGTTCAACCCGAATCAAACTCAATCTTGCACGATTTTTCACAGTCGCCTCACACATATCATGTCCGAAACAACCTCCCTTTATCAAGTGTCGCCAATGAACAAGGTAAGTATACAGGGTGTCCCAGCAAGTTGAAAAAGTGACCTTTAAATGGTAAAATTTAAAAAAATATATATAGGATGCGCCAGAACTCGCGCCCCAGAGAAAAATACCATATAAAGGAAGATACCAGGAACATGGAAAAAAAAATTATCTATAAAAATTTCGAAGTTATGAGAGTTTAAATAATTGTAGAAAAACATAAACAAGATTATCAGTATCATTAAATAGACATGAAAAAATGTCAAAAGTCAAAAAATAAATGTCAAAATTTTTTTCATGTTCTAACTTACAGTTTGTATTCAATGGCGGCATTTCAAAATGCCCTAGAAAAATTCAAATTTGAGCGGGAGAATTGCTCATGACGTGTGATCGGCGTAGTTTTGGACCCTTTTTAAAATAAGATAACCCTACGTTGTGGTTGTTAGTTTATTCGTAATAATCCTTCGTCGTTTCCTCGAAGCACTGAACAAACGGATGGGAGTAAAATTAAATAATCAAGAAATAAACCACTAATGTTTTATTAATATGAAGTATAATTCAACA